GTGAATCTAGGATGCACTATGTCTCGGTTGCGTTTGCACCCTGATACACAAAGTGAAAGTTAAGTTATCACAAAGAAGATGACGAGAGCTCTAAGGGACATCTGGTCCATTCTAAGGTAGGTTTAGGACAGGCCATGACGACTTTGGAAGACTACTGATTAACCTCAAGGTGAACCAAGGGGGTTTTCAAGGATCTCTAATCCTACATTGGGCCCAAGGTAGGCTTAGGGTTGGTCATGGAAGCTACTCATGGTAGGCTTAGGGTAACTCTAGGGAACCACAGGTCCAGCTCAAGATAGACAAGGATTGGACTGGAGAAACCATAATCAACCTTACCTGGTTCTCCTCGTCTTACAACTCGTACTATCCTTCCAGAAGACTCGACTTGAATGAATCCAGCGCTGTAAAATTATTTCAATTTTCATAAGAATTTATTTCGTGAACAATGTTGAATACCATTTAATTTTTTAATAAAAATTACTACTAGCTGTAACTTATGAACCCTCTTAAGAATGATTTTATTGAACGAATTTCATTAATAAATTTATTATTTCTAACTGTGTGCACACACACACACACACAATATTTACAACGAATCCTTTTGCTAACAATGCTGTTCAGCATTGATTATTATACCAAACATGTTTTTAATAAAAATAATTAATTGCGCTCGAAATACCGAGTAATTATGATTATTGTATTATTATAATTATTATTTACCAATAACACTGTTCGACACGATCTTTGGGTTCCTATAGCCACTATGAAATTCTTGTAGAGCTTCACTCCCTGAACAAGAATCCGAAAACCGAATTGCTCCATCACCCTCAGTTTTTTAAATAAACGAACTTTTGTAAGAACCCAAAATTTTCGACAAAAATGAGGTATTGCATGAAAAGTACAAACGTTAGAAAGTTCTAATTGGTGTTAAAAGATAGAGGAGAGTTTCCCGAATATAGTGGCATGCAATTTATTAATTGTTTTTCGTCCTAAATAGCAATAAATTGATGTCAAAGTTTAAAAAAGTGTCGACATGAGCAGTTTCTGCGCAATATTTTTGCATTTTTACGAAAAGTTTTTTGTTCAGCACGAAAACTCTACCCAGGATCGGATTCTGTAGACATTTCTGAAGAGAAACGGCCCGATAGAAGTGTCAGAGCGATATAAATTTCGAGTAGATCGAGAAAATGTTCGATGGCAACATGTACACGACGTTTTGCCGCCACGAGCTTCGCTGCTCGCTTCTCTCTGTCCGACAGGGCCGAAGTTACGCGTAATGTTCACCGATGGAGGGATCCAATGGGGCACCCGCTCTTTGTAAATAATATTTGAATTTATTTTAGTACTTCAATGTTCTGTTTTTTTTTACATATTTCTGTGCATAATAATCACCAAACTGTGATATATTTCACAAAAAATATCACACCAAAGTATTTGGAGTTGGTAACGAAAGTATTCTAACACTAG